TCCCCGTTATTTCCAAGCGCGTCCGGACCCTGCGGGTTGCGGTTGGGTCAGGTTCTGCCTCTGTGACATTTCCGTGCCGATAGACCCGCTCATACCGCGACGTCCGTAAAGGTCTGAATGGACGCTCGCGGCTCTGGAGGAATTTCCCAAGAGGAAACTTTTCATCCCAAAACCCGGCGGTTCCCGGAGGCCCGAAAGGGAGGCGTAATCCCGTCTCCGGCGGCGTTTCACCGACGAGCGGGAGGAGAGGACGGTTCACGCGACTGTTCTGCCAACGCCTCGGGGATATTTGGTTTTGGAGAATCCAAGCGCATTTATTTATAACCACTGCAGCTATATTTATAAATATATTTTTTTAAAAAATCTTTTTCCAACAGAAGTTTTGAAGAAGGCTTTAATAATTATTTTTGATGAATTAATGTTTGGAAGAGACTCGCCTCCTGGTTATTGATTCCTTCAGCGTTTCCTCGCCGCCTTAAGTTTCTTTTACCCTCAAAACACCGACAATTTGGGTCTAAAAACCGCCGTCGGAGGGTTGAGACGGCATCGGAGGAAATCCCGAGAGATTCTTTTAATGCCCAGAAGCGCTTATGGACATAAAGGGACGCTGTCAACTTTTTCTTTGACGTTTCGCCTGAAATTTCTGCGTATTATTTGTCGATTTGCAGAGCTGGACCGCTGCCGTGCCTTTGCCAGCGCTGCCCTTCGCCGGGATTTCCACCCTTCCCCTGGAAAAGGTCGCTGTTGCCAAAAAGTCCCTTCGGCCGGGAAACAAAACTTCCCCTTCGGAAGAGAAAAAAATAAATAAATCCGTGGCGCTCACGGTAGCGGGATTTGGTTTATCGAGGGGGAACAAACCGGCGCTCTCGCCGCTTCGGGGAATCACACCTCGATTTTCTTTCCCGACAAACCCGAGGAGAATGTGATCTCTGCTTGGCATTTCCAAAAGAATTTCAACCCGCCTGCGTCCTCTGCGCTTCTCCAGAGAGGCGTTGGAGGATTTTAAGCCCAGAGCAGCAGATTTCTGCGGCCGGCGGAGTCGGTGAATAACCTCCCACGGCCTCCCGGCCGGCCGGCGCTGCGTCAGGGCATTTCTCCCTCCGAGCGCTGGGTTTCGAGGTGAAAAGTTAAACGAGGCGGCGCAGCCCCGCTCCCCTCCAGCTTCCCCATCCCCGCCCCCCTCCAGCTTCCCCTCCCTGCCGCCTCGGCATCGGTGGGAGAATCCCCGCCGGCTTCCCGGGAACGCCGGCGCAGAATTTGGGGTCTAAGAGGAGGCTGCGGGGTTTCTCCTCGGTGCCGTGGAGCTCGGGGATTGGTTTGGGGTCGATTTGATTTTTCCCTCTGGGGCGCGATGACCAGCTCCGAACGGTCCCGTTATCCGCCGGGATGAGCGCAGGAGCTCACGGAAACACCGACTCCAT